TCTCCTCTCCTCTCCTCTCCTCTCTTGTCTTTTTCTGCTTATATTTGCTGTGGGAAAGGAAGGAGAAAACACAGAAAGGTCAGAAGCTGCCAGAAATTACAGACTATGCGACTACACGTCCTAGAGGCAAGAAGACAGAGTGATGAGGATCGCAGAGAGGACAAAAGTTTTTCTGGAAAGCAAAGGAAGCAAAGCACATATCAGCCCAGCCAGTACATCTGCAAAGTAGCTTAGAACTAAATCTGACAAGAAAGAAAGAGTAGTGAGAAACTGGAGATCAATGACCTGTGGTGAAAACCTGGTGTACAGAAACTCTTAGTGTGATGCAAAAGAAGAGTGTATTATGATGGGAAGGCAGAGAATGCTGCCTTCTGGTGTCAATTAGAACTAAGCCAGATGACCCTGGAGTTCAAAAGCGGTGACACAGGGCAAGATATTAGAGGGCAGTAGTTTGCAGCAGGTGATCAGAAGTGCAGGGACTCAGAACTCCAGTTTTCATGAAATGGAGAAAAAAATGTTTTTCACCTGGCAGCCTACCCAATCCACACTTGAACAAATCTTGATCAGATTTCAGAGAAAGGAGCAATAAAAATGCAGCTATAAATGTTAATATCTACACAGGTCATAAGGCAGATGGGGCCACAGATATTCAGCCTCAAAGGTACAAGGGAATTACTAAGAATGCACCTACTGTGCTCTGTATTTTAGCAGAAGCACCCCAAAAAGATACTGGTGAGATAGCACACAGCAATCTTAGTTGTTCCCTGTATTCTTCTTCCCACACGAGTTTTTCAAAGTATTGCTAAGTATTACAGAAAATCAGGATATACTCTCCTATCTTTGAATGAGCAAAAGCATTAAAGTTAAGAGAGAACTTCATCTTATCCTAGAAGAAAAATAGAAATTAACTGTGAGACTAGTGCAGCCATTAATGCATTTTATCTTATATTACTGTAACCCGATTGCACCATTTTAGTTCTGCATTATCAAATATTTTATCTTAACCTTAAGTCCTGTGAGTGATACCTGTGAAGCTTAAAACTGAGTTTTTCTGTGATATTACCAGCTCCCTAACCTCTATTGCCCAAAGACTAAGAGGAGTCACTATCTGAGAAGGTGGCAGTGGCCTGAGCTAAGAACCAGTGTCACATGGGTCATGAAAGGTGTAATATCTTCCATTTACCAGCAAAAATCTGCAGCATGTACCAAAAACTGAGTGAGAGCACAGCTGTAACATGTCTGTTACATTTGGACAACAGAGGTCTCAGGATTATTTTGAGCAACACCCTTATCTCATAATGAAGCATGTAAAACCTGCTGCTCTTGTGTAGATCCAGGGAAGAAGGGTAGCAGCCATATCTGCACTGTGCACTGAGCATTGCACAGTGAATGCACAAAGCTTATCTGGTACAATTCGTAAGTACTCTGGAGTAGCTCGCAGGTTACCTGGAACAGCATACACTGGTTTTCATGACCGTCAATTATCTGAACAACTTTTTGTAAAACTTCTATTTGCTTCTCTCCCCAGGAATACATTGTAATGGAACATTTGATCAATTTGTTTGCTGGCCTCACTCACGCCCAGGAAATGTCTCTGTTCCTTGTCCTTCATATTTGCCATGGTTGGAAAACGGTAATGTTAAAACGGTAACTTCTCTTTGAGTTTATGCTGGGAACCCAGCTAAAGGACAGACGGTGCTGGTCGCTCTTGTCCCAGTGTCCTTTGAAGTGGCCGAGGGCTTTCTTGTCACAGCTCTTTTCACCTCTTTTCCGAACTGAGGCACAAAATTGTTGTCGATGTTTAATTATTTACTCTTTTTCTCCAACTGTGCTTGTTACAGCTCCATATTGTCTGCTAGAAAGAAACATTTCCAAGACCGCATAATCATACTGCCAGGCCTTTATTGGCAGTAACAGATTTGGGGTTCAGTTTCTAAAGTTCAGATTCTGGGGTCCCCACTGACCCCAGACACGAAGCTATCTCCCAGAAAACTGGAATAGCCAAACAAAGCCGCAGTCCAAGCAGTCATCCCTCCAGTAGGACATATGCACCACCAGCAAGTGGTGTGGTGAAAAAACAAGCTTTCCAAGCAGCATTTTCCTGGAGGGAGTGGAGCAGGGAAGCTCTCAGGAAGGGAAAAAGAATAACAGCTGCAGGAGCAAAATCACCTAAAAGCAAACAACATTCCCTTTCTCCTAACGAAATTAAAGGACATTCCTACCACTGCAGCCCAGCATTTCTGAATCCTGCTACACCACCTTTCTTAACTACATGTGGCTTTCTTGGCTGCATTTCTAATACCACTTGGAAGGACCAATTGTGTCCGAGTCCTTTAGTTTATGGGAGACTACTACAGGCTGCCTATCCTAGCTTTCTCCAGCACACCCCACACATGGTTTGTTCTGTAACATCATACTTTTTCCTTTTTTTGTGCTGCTAAGCAGAAACAAATCCAGCTTCTATCCAGTCCCCCAAACAACTGTTTCTGCCAACCATTTAGAACAAATTCAGATCTTCATAATAAACATAAAAACATCTTCCTTTCCTCCATGTAATGGAGACTCTTTTTTTCTCTTTTACTGTCTAAATTTCTACAAAAGCAAGGTATAAGACATTGCACCAGGTTATGGAGATTTTAATGTTGTTCACAGTGCAGAACACAGTGGGGCTCATCTGGCATTCTCATCCATGCCACAGCACCTTAGGAGAAAAGGCATTTAGAGGCAGCCCAGCTGTCTGTTTGTCCTAGATATTTTGCAGGACTGGGATCAGGGTTGCTTGTGGTCCCCATTTCCATTGCTGGTCCCACTTCCAAGCCATAGCTGTGTCTGTTCTGGGACACCGATGGACTTGGACCAGAAATGCTTGAAAGCTTGAAGTAAATTTATTTGGGTTTGTCATCATTTCCAAGCCTGAGCACTGAAAAATTAGGGTAGTCTAGAAATAAGATTTCTGATCATATTTCATAGATGCCTTCAGATTTTTTTCAGTGTCTAGTCTCCACACAGCTAGCAGCTTTGCTGTACCGTCACAGCAAACTATGTTCCCAAAGCAGTTCTCTCAGTTCCACTTATCCTGAACAAAATAAAATATTCTGGTTGTTGCTGCAACCCTTAAATACTTTCTAATTAAAAAATGAATAAAAAATCTCAGGTCTGAGTAGAAATAAATGGAAGGCAGCTGTTGAGGACAACATCAAACAAACATCAACCAGGGTCCCCATACCATTCTTCTGATGTTATGGGCAAATTCTTAATTAGTGTAAACTAGGACAATGCAGCGACAGCCAAGAAAGCTTCACTGGTTCACACCAACTGCTGATCAGGCCCCAAAGTGTGTAAATAAAACCCCAGCCACAGGTGTTTCAGAGAAAGATCATTCCCTAATCAAACCATACTCTTCCTCCTACAATTTTGACTGCACAGGTTGGGCAATGTGCTACCTATACTTGATGGAACTTATGAGGAAACAGGAAAAAAGTGACATGTAAGCTTTTCTTTTGGATGTAGTAACTATGTATTTTTTGTAAATACTAGGTACATCTTGGGAATTTATTTCTGCTAGATTACATTCCTACTTTGTCTTATGTAAACATGAAAAATATATTGTCAAAGACAAAAGAAAAGTGTTTTTATTCCTTTTTTTGAGTACGGCCGGTGTCTATTACTGTGGTGTAAGGGAAAAATCTTTAAAACATGTATGAAAAATGAAAACTTTATTTTGACCTTTCAGACCAAACCTCTGTTTACTTTCAGGAAGTGTAGGAAATGTATACAGAGTCTGCTTGGATGAAGGGACTTGGCAAACGAAGGAAAACTCCACAGACATTTGGCGTGATAGTTCAGAATGTTCTGAGAAAAACAATTTAAAAAAAAAAGTAAGTATGTTTTATATATGGCTTAATACTTTAATCTTCTTAATCCCTTCTGGAGTAACTGAAAAAACATTCCACTGAATACCTGTAAAAGATGTTCAGATTTCATTTAGATTACCAAATGGAAACCTGTTATTTTATTCAGAAGAAGCAGAGAAGGAAAGATTAAGGAGAGGGATTCCTGCTTTCGATGCCACAAATTATTTTCTGTTCGGAGTCCAGTGTTCACATGTGCTGAATTTCTCCTAATAAAATTGAAAAAGACTGTAACTGAACGAGTAGATTACTTAAGTTCAAAGCATCCCATCATCTGCCCCAAATCGCTGCAATCTGCCAAGGCCAGACAACCTCGTTCCCTGCCATTTCCTGAGCTTTTTAGCGTTTAATGAGCCATTAACTGGTCCTTTCAAATTTAGCTAGTCACAGACCGGAGGATTCATCGTAATCTAAATGCCATCCTTCCCGATCTGATACAGCATGGAGCTGGGGGAATGGCTCTCCCGGGGAGAATAAAGAGCAAACTAGATACCCTCACCTCGACAGTGCTCAGCTCTTTGTACGAGATAAAATGAAAACAATTACTCATCAGCTCTCGTTTGTGAGGCTGGGCATCACGCTCTGTATCTTCAAAGCCTTGGTTTCATGAGGCAGTGCAGGGAGCAGGCATCAGAAACCTCCCCTGGCTACCTTGCAACCCAAAGAAGGTGGACTCAAAAGTTTCTGAGCTGCGTTTGTGCTCTGCCCACCCGCCTGCATGTATAACACGTTTTTCTTCTTTATGCCTAGGAAGAAGAACATAAATTACTTACCACATTACAGCTGTTGTATACTATAGGATATTATTTTTCTCTCATCTCACTTATATTAGCTCTCCTTATACTTTCTTCACTCAGGTTAGTACAAATTTACGTACATTTTAAAAGTACAGACCCCAGTATACACTTTTTTCTTTTCATATAACTTAATTATTGCTTGGCTTCCAATGTAAATAACTTGTATTTTATTTTCCTCATAAGCATAAAAACAATTCATAAGCAAAATCTGTTGATGGCAACAATATGAATTGTACTTTTTTATTTCTGCAAATCAAATATATTCCAGAGGATTCATACATTATTTTTGCTCCCACAGAAAACTTCACTGCACAAGAAACTACATCCATATGAATTTATTTGCATCTTTTATCTTGCGTGCTACGGCAATTCTTATAAAAGACACTGTATACTACAATATTTACTCCAAAAAACCAAATGATGAAACTGGATGGATATTATACCTCAGTCCTGAGGTAACTTGTTAGTTCATTGCTAATAGTAAATATATGCTGCTAGTGGCCGTAATGGTTACAGTTTTGGAAGTTTGACATCTGGCAGCAAGTTTTGAGTTGTTTGTTAGTTGAGCTTTGAATGGTGAAATTTTGCTGATAAAGCTTGGGGTAATAAAAAAAAAATCTGATTTGATAAATTGTAATAGATTGATTTTTATAAGTTATATTTAGAAACATACAATTAAGCAAAAAAACTTACACCTGCATTTTTTAGGAAGAAACCTACACATCTGTTTGGCACTTATGTAACACTATAGTTCTTCGCTCTTGGCATGCCTAGCACAATGCAATGCACACAAATCTCGCTTTTAAGATGATGTTATCAAACAATGTATTTGCTGTGAAAGAACTCTAAGAAAGAAGAAAATAGTTCAAAGGCTTTTCTATATTAGGAAAACGTGCTAATTTTCTTACACTTGTTTAGATAATGGAATAACAACATCTCTCATTTGTGATCACTGTGGGTAAGTTACATTGTATGAATATAGTTTGCCCATGTCAATGAGCGAATTTACCTGCAAGATGTTAGTGGAAACTATTATTTTAGTAACTCATCAGTAAAAATTCTGATATTAAGATCATGACAAAGAATACATACCCCAGCCTACACTGTCACTGTCTTTTCCTACTTGTCAGCTCCACTCAAACTCTCTGACAATGAAGGAACCTTTAAACTGTTGCATTCCTCTCCAGCCACTCCCAAGCAGCAAGGAGAGTCTTGCGAGATATGTGACTGAACCACAGTTATATCACAACTATGTGCTAATTTTAAAACGGTTGCTAAAGTAACAAGAGAAAATCAGGATTTGTCAGAGCTTTTCTATATTAACAGTGATTCTCGGTCTCTCATTTCTACAGATTATAATTGTTTGCAGGACTGCCCAGTTTTTCATGCATTACTTTGTTGGGGCAAATAATTTTTGGCTATTAGTAGAAGGAATTTATCTGCACACATTATTGATAACTGTTGTACTCTCTGAAAGACGACTGCTACAGACATATATTGTGATAGGATGGGGTAAGTACATAACAATTTCCAAGTTCTTTATTCTGTGGTACTTTTTCGAGTCAATGGTGGGTACTTTATAATGAAGAAAGAAAAAATCTGAACTCTTTTTTATTTGTTTGTTTTGAAGTCAACAATTGTCAATAAAGGTATACCAGCAGTGATACATTCCTTGCAGTTCAGCTTGACCTGCAGATACAGGTGTCATCCGAAAGAGTGGGATCTTTACCCGGTATGCAAGGCCAATATTCACACAGGGTCGAAGTATTCCTTTTATTGTAGGTTTGCACAAACCTGGAAGCTAGGTGGTACCCCACAAAGCTAGCTTAGGTCAGTACAACGTCTACAGCATGTTTATATTGTTACATGATTAGCAAAACAATAAAAAACCTGCCCAAGTTTACATTCATTGATTAGTGATTACTATATCACTTGCTATTGGTTACGTGTACTTAAATTAACATGCATGCTCCTAGAAAGTGTGTGGGGGTAATTGCATAGCTCCTCAATTGAGTCTGTGGTCATGATTTCCCCCTGCCACCTTTTCCTTTAACCTAGTTACTACAAAATTTCACTGACTTCCTGCTGGTAGCATTCTCCTATTCTTGTTATCTTCCTCCTGGCAAGATATTTCTTTTATCAGTCCCTGAAGTCCCCTTTTTGGTTCCTCCTCTGGAGACTGGTGATTAGTAAGGCATGCAAGTTTACACAATCTTGCTAAATTCACACAATACAGCTACTCAGCTTAATGGTTAACGTTTATTTTTAGCTTACCACAGGAAAAGTGTGTGAATCGTTTCATAAGAAAACACTAGCCTAGTGTTTTGACCATATTTGGCTGCATTTTCTGTCATCACTGAATATTTTGGTACTACCAGCAACTTCAGTTTCTTCCTTTGTAATAGAGCACTTCTTACATAGCAAAGATGTCTAAACATTAGCAATTCTCTTCTGTATGTTCACCTTCCTAGCTCACCTTAAAGTTCTAAAGTGTGTGTTAAGTTAGAGGACAATCTGAAATGCTGCATGATTCAGGTCTTATGTTTCAGGCATTTTTCATGGAATAAAGAAAATGTAAAGTTAGTTACAAACACTTGAACAGTTTTGCGTAAATTATGTCATGTAATCTGACAATTACATTTGTTGCTTACTCAAAGAGCGTAATTCTGTATCTTGCCTGGACAAAGGAGAAAATCAAGGTTTCCCAATTCCCAGTAATAATCTAAAAAAAAACCCTAAAGGAGATATGATCTTAAATAGGTGTTTAAACTAAAACATAAATAACTGAAGCAAATGGTAGCTAAGACTAAAATTATAATAATTACAGTTGGAATGTTACAGCATTTACATGGTTAAAGGAAATTTTTGGTTATTGTTATTAAGGTTGTGGTAAACTCCCTGTCAGTTAGATAAGTGATTCATGTCATTCAGTTTTAGTTGTCTAAAACTTGTGTTAGGCTCTTTCCGTAACAATCGCAGGGAATGAAGACAGTTCACTTCTCTTTGACATTTACCTCGCCTCTTGAATTTTGAAATGTGAATTGGATAGCATCTAAAAAATAGCCTACCAGACGATTTCCTAGAATTTAATTCAGATAAGACCGTTTTTCATGCTTTTCTAATATGACTGTATTAATTTATTTACAAAGAACCATTGCTGTAGAAAAATGCCAATGCTTAAAGCAAGATCCGAAACAGGACTTCAGCATCTAAAATACCACACATGGGGAAACCTGAGAAAAAAAGTTTCAAAAGCATGGTATAAAACCCTGTTGAAGCACACAAGATAACTTAATTTAGAGCAAAACTATTTGGTCTGAAAGAATAAAGATCCATTAAAGAACCCAGAAACTTTATTTGCTGTTTAGAATTATCTCAGAAGATTGTTCTTGTCCCAAAACAAGTCTAGTTTCTCAGGGTAAAGGATCATAGTAAAACAGAAGATAAAATACATTCCTATACCCTTCTCTGCGCAGTCAATGAGGGGTCCCAAGTATTCCAGATGAACTTCCTTAGATTTACAGGGAAATAAAGTAGTTAATATTAAAAAAATTAAAACTTTCCTGATTATCTAACTATGAAGTCAAGCTCCATATGATTAAAACGGAATTCTTAATTTTTTCATCCTCATGCCATCTCCCAACCTCAGTCACTCCTCTGCTTCCCCAGTATGATTTATGTTGTGTTCTTTGAGTGCTCTGACTGATGTTTTCAGTCATATCAGACTTCCTGTGGGTTATTAGAATCAAGTAGTACTTAAATCTTTAGTTTAGTCTACCTGATGGAGGAGGGGATTCATTTTAGCTAACAAAGTTAAATTTAGGTAACTAATATGGAGACTCTCTCTAGAACCAAAGGAAGATGACAAGTACCTTTGAAGAGTGAGTTATTTCAATGTTTAAGGGAAATGGGGTATTACCCTAATCCTTTCATGCCTCTCTAGATATAGTCACATTGGAACTTGTCTTATTTCCTACAGCATCCTTTTCTCTGGCCTTTCCTGTATTTTTCCACTGTGCTGTTGTGAATGTTATTTTTCAGGCTTGCAGTTTTGAACATGTTATCCCATTTTAAGCATCCTTCCTTTTCCTCTTTTGCTTCTTCCTCATCAGACATTAACTACTTTCCTTCGCTTTCACACTCATTCCCATCCTTCCTCATTTATTAAAAGTCTCTGTCAAAGCATAACACCACACTTCATTGTCCATTGCCAAGCCTCTGGGCTTTCTCCTCTGCTGCACCTTACACTTTAGCAGGTCCTTCTCCCCATCTATGCCTTGGTTTCTCAGTTGCCTCTCACATTCCTCCTTAAAGAACCCTTGTACTATATTAATATGGCTGTATTAGCATCAGGTTACTGACACACCACAACCACTGTCTTTCATGCTGATTAGTGTTGTCTCCTTGATTCCTCACTCTTCCCACCTCTCTAAATCCATTTACTGCTTTGATCACCAGCTCATTGGAACAGGGACTAATCATTTTGTTAATTGTTCAAACTGCAACCCATACTGCTGTTGCTGAGCCAAGCAGGGGCGAACCATGCTTACACCTACTAAGACACTCTTCCTCAGCTACTGTCCAGGAACTGCACTTGATAACATCACCTCATCTTCCTGGGTACCATCTTTCCCCATGAGACAATCTCATATTCCCCTGGACGTGTAGCGCTCTTCCCAAGTGATCCATACCCTGATTATTCTCTCAGACCCACTTGTTGCACCAATGCCATCTCCCACCCAAGTAAGACTCTATCATCAGAGGTCTATTATCTCTGAGAGTATTGTGCTTCTGGCCCTTTCCCTGTATTGCCACACTCCAGGTTCCCCCATGACTTTAGCTAGCGTCCCAGAATCCTGACTAGGTCCTGTTCTGGCCCCAGTGACCCACATCTCCTCTCCTTTCTGACACATCCACCAGAAAATCTCCTGTGTGTTATTGGGCTGAGAATCCATTCGAACACCTGTCTTTTGTATCTCACATGCCTTGTGCTTGTGACTGAAGCTTGTGCCTGCACATTTGTACACCACTGGAATACTATAGTAATCCTTTATTTCAGGGTTTTTTTTCAGTCTGCAGCTTATGATCTCCAGGAGGAGGGGCAAGAATAGGGGCATGGGGACCACAGATTATCTTTAAGGGGTCCAGAAAAGGTAAGCCAGGAAAACAAGCCTTTGTCAGTTGTTTTAATTAACTAGATAGAGTTCCATTCCTCCACTGAAAACTCTTTAAGGTTCAACAAATAAAAATGTTAACAACTGGTGCCTTAGGTAGTCTGTGAGGCCTCAGGTGCCAATTATTTTGAATTCTCAGAGTCAGGAATTTAGAAGATTTGGACAGGTCAGCAGTTTATGTGTGTATATATATGTATATATCAGTTGGAAAATGCCAGATTCAACTATACAACGAAATTTCATTTTGTAATTGAATTACAATTGGGAAAAGCCAGGATCAGGTTGATTTTTGTACAATTCTAAATAGAAGACTGAAAAGCATATGTCTTTATACCACGCACTACTGTAACACATCTGTGTTTTGTATGAACGATTCTGCAAACTTGGCTGTAATTGACTCCTTTTCTTTTCAGTTGTTCCTATCCTGTTTGTGGGCCCTTGGGGAATAAGCAGATCAAAATTGGAGAACACAGGGTAGGTTACTAAATAAAATGTGCCTTAGAATACTGGCTTTCTGTTAGCTTAATTTTTCTGGAAGCCCTTGACAGTAATTGACACAAATATTCACTACTAGATTAAGATTATACAGAACTTATTAATACTTCCTACATTTTCTAGGTTCATTTTAGTACTTCGACATTAAGCTACTTCTAGGAATTCTCAGATTTACTCACACATAAATCAAGAAGTGGAAGGAACATTCACTGTTCCTGAAGCGAAAGCTATTGCATCCAATGTTCATCCACTTGAACAATGAAGCAAATTGTCAGCACAAACATCTTAATGGAGAGCATCTTGTTAGTAAGAAAAAGAGACCAGTGGTTTTCTTGGAAACCATCTACACTCTGCATTTAATTAGTATTTGCTGCCATTTTGAAAAAAAAAATCGTTATGGAGGATAATGGGAAAAACTGACATTCACTAAAAGTTGGTATTGAATGAAAGTGTTCAGTATTCACTGAATGAATCAGTAAGAGTAACTTGCACTAGTAAGCATCAGATTTCCAGTCTTCTGGTCTTCCATGATGCTGTTAATGGCATCACATAGACTTTGGGATTCATGTATATTTTTTTTGTTCTCTTTTTTAATTCATGGTTCATAGAGAATTTTGGTTACAACACCAATATAGTTATTAAACAACAACATCAGGAACCAAATCACAATTATAGTCTCATAGACTTAGATGTTATATAGACTGTAAATAACAAGTCAAGATCCTACAGAGTTTCAGATTAATTAGCAAGAAGGAACATATGCATCGAGCAAGTTAGAAGGTTTGAGCATGAGAAAAGGAGACAGCTTCAAGGAAACAGCATGAACACTTTTTAGGAGGTCAGGAACCATGGTCACAATTCATAGTTTACCCATTTCCAGTTTCCATTTTCATACAGATAAATTTTAGTAGGATGAATTCCATTATGAAGGTTTGGTGCCGTGTACAGTAGTTGTGTGAATCTAAAGACTGAGTTTATCAGATAGTTCTGAAGTTTGAAGTCTAGGGAAACCTCTCTCAACATTCAGGTGGAAAGATCTTCAGAATAAATACAATTACATTGCTCCTGAGTACCACTTGAAAAAGTGAACTTTATCAACTTCCTTTTGAAATATATACTGAAGTTATGGAAGCTTTCTATTTTTTTTTCAATGAAAATAATGTAATTATATTTTAAATTATTCTTCAGATGCTGGGGAACAAATGAGCACATGGGAATCTGGTGGATCATCAGAGGACCAATGTTGTTTTCCATTGCAGTAAGAATTATTTCATCTATTCGTAATACCATGCATAAGCGTGATTGCCTTTTGTGACCCATTCACCATCTATAATCCAATTCTTGGATTAGAAAAGATGAGAAAGTAAAAATTGTAAATGAAGTTTATTACTGTGTGTGGATAGGTATGGCTTCCTTTCTGTCTATCTACAAACAACAAAGATTTCAGTGTCAACTTCTCAAAACACTGCTGTTTATCTGTGCAGTGAATTCTGCACAGCTCCATCTATAGGAAAGATAGAGCCTTTAGCTTCTCATATTTTTAACTTCTCATATTTTTATACTTATTTTCTCAGTGAGCCGGTTACTTAGGAGAGTGCTGCCATGTGGTGAGCAGTACTAGAAAGCTCCAAATTCTCTACAGAGGAAGATATTATGATAACAAAGATGCAGAGAAGTAGCAACAGAAATACTGAGGGTCATGGGGAGAAAGCATTCAGCTAATAAATATCGAAGCACAGCATGACAAGACTGAGTTATTAATTTTTCTCTTAAACAAATGCTAAGAAGTGTACACCTGAAAGGTGGTGATAATGAAGAGATGGAAATAGCATGACTGAAAAAATAATGAAGAGATGGAAATAGCATGACTGAAACAACTCATGGGACATGATTATGGACACAGAATTTTGATAGATGGGACTGTGGTGTGTCCCCAGAATATTTTACATTCTCATGCAGTCGGCAAGGTATGAAAGGATTGGAGGAATAAGTGACTTGGTTAGCTAAACAGATAGCAAATGTTGTACAGAAGAGATGTACTTTACTCATGCAAATGTGTACAGGGAGTAAATGGAGGGCATTGGTTTCTGTCACACTGGGGAAAAGATGTGGAAATTAAAACTTTAGAGAAGAAATAATGGATTATGTTTTGCTGCTGCTGAGTTGGAGAGAACTGTGCGAGAGAGAAAGTGGGCATAGTTGGGACTCAGCTGTGAAACAGAGAAACACACTTAGTAGCCATCACAAAAAGTAAATAATTAGAAGGACAATGGAGGAGACTCTATCAAAAACAAAAAGCAAAAAACAGTGGAGAGAAGAACCAGAAAAGAAAGTAAAAAAGCCTGAGATGTGAGAGGAAGCAAAAGCCAAAAAGAAATATTAAGACAGACAGAAACTGTCTGTCAGACCAAAACTGAGGGAAAGGTCAAGACCTGAGGGAATAATGAAACAATTTCTTCATTCTGAAATAAGACTCAATGATCAGTTTACTTTCTGAGGGCCTGAGCAGAAAATACACAACCAGTGGAACACGACCAGCAGAAACAAGTAACAACATTTCTGTTACATCAAAGAGATCAAGTGTTTTACTTTTGTTGTAAGAATATTAAGTTCACTGATGTTAGTATGCTCAACCCAGTCCAAGTCCCCTGAATAACAGGGAATTAAACAGATCTAAAAGGCAGAAATGCATTCCCAAGTACAACAAAAGGATGGCAGAAAATAGACAAGTCAAAGTTCAGACTAGATACAAAGACATTTTTAAATATAACTTTCTAACCTTAATTCAGATATTCATGTCACTACTTGGAGAGCTCCTGTCATCATCACCCAAAACTAGGAGAAAATGCTTTTTCCTGTTTGTTGTTTGTTTTGTTTTTTTCCTCCATCATTTTTCATTGTAATTGGTGCCTTTGATACTTTGAGACGAATAAGATACAGTTCCCTACTACAGACCAAAACACAGAATATCAAGGTGGACATAAAGTGACAGAGGAATAAACTTTTGTTCAAAATCCCTCTAACTAAAGTTGGCAAAAAGAGATGTCTCCTTATATTTATATGTAAATAGATACATACACATACATGTTATTCCTCTAACATAATTTTTAATCTCTTCTTTTTTTATATTACATTTTGGGATCTTCTGCCTTGGTGCTATTTCACAGATTCAAATAGCCCCAGCAGTTTAATTTATTCTGAGCATGTATCCTCTGATCATTACCAGTGCTTATAGTCATTAAGTATTAGAAAATACAGAAAAAGTGTTGAAGATATAGCATTATCACTTAGACTTTATGGACATCTTTCTACAGAAGAACAAGCAGCAGCTAGAGGACAGTTGAAGCTCTTTCACCTCCCAGGAATGTGTATAGAGGACCAGGCTCAGCTTCTTCCTGGGAAGACTTTCTTAGACCTAATTGCCTGTCTGTTGAGTCTTGTAGTATTGAGTCCTTGAAGTGGTGAAGGAACTCACATATCTTTACCCATTGCTTCTTACCTGTGTATTTTGATATCAATGCTCATTTTAGAAGGAGCCATAAACTTTATGAATAAATGTCACTAAGACATCTTGTTGCTGTTAGGTTGCAGGACATTCTGTCCGTGATTGTTCCTCAGAATCCCACTGAGTGACCCTTACCTGGAAATTCTAAGGCAAACAGGAAATATATGTGCAGAGCTGATATCACAGAATCCAGTTGCCAGTGTACATGATGGTGGCCAGCAGTGGAGCTGCACGTGGGAAGATGCCTTCTGTGGCATCACTTCACCACTGATAGCATGGGAGAAACAGGGAAGGAATCAATGAGAACTGAAATTGAAAGGTTAGGCAAAAGGGATGATATCAGATTGCAGGAGAATGGAACATCTCTAACCTATCTAAAATCCACTGGCAAAACGTGTGTCAGCACTACCTCATGATGGTTGTGCACAGATTATAACAGCCAGGTACCACAGCTGGACCTTGTCCTCATAGGGCATAAGTTGGTGTACAGGTGAAAAGGTCATAAGCTTTTTCTCATGAAACATCAGAAATGCAAAGTTTGTACTTCCTTTTTTTTTAATAATATTGAACCTTATTCCACAGTCCTGTATTGTTTTAAAGAAAATTAAAAGAATCACAGGGAAAACACTATGCTAGCTGGTATGTTGCTATTTACTGAGCAGCTCTATTCATACATAGTAAGCCTGGGAAACAATGATGGCACCTCGCTTTCGTATATATTATTGCCATCCAGAAATTTCAGAGTGATTAAACAATGAAGTCATTATCTGAGTTTGGTGGTGGAGAACTGGAGGAGACCATGACAGATGTAGTTCTTAACACTGATCTTAAAAACTCCATGTGGCATTTTGGTTTCTTTATCCCACATTACGTAAGAAATAAAGTATTAGAGCTCTTGCACATAGTTAGAGTTTTAGATTTTATATTGAAATGACTGTTTCTAGACATCATCCCAAGTTGTTACTGAAAAGTTTTACATTTTTAATGAGGGGTAGGAGCTAGCTTTCATAATATCAGTGCTTATGATAAGATCACCCTGCTGAGACCTTTAAAAGCACTGACGTAGGGACCGTGGCATAGCTATTGTAATGACCAATTCAATGTATGGGTTGGATGAGCAGTGAGGTGGATTGAAAACTGGCTGAATGGCCAGGACCAGAAGGTGGCATGAAGTCTAATTGGAGGCCAGTAACTATCAGTGTACCCAGTGCTGGGTCCGATCCTATTTAATATCTTCATAGATGATCTGGACAATGGGGCAGAGTGTACCCTCAGGAAGTTTGCAGACACCAAACTGGAAGGAGTGGCTGAGCTGAGTGTTGTGCTGCTACCCAGAGGGACCTTTCCAGGTTGGAGAAATGAGATGACAGGAACCTCATGAAGTTCAACATGGAGCAGTGCAAAGTCCTGCAGCTGAGGAGGTACAACCTTAGGCACCAGTATATGCTGTAGTCTGCCCAGCTGGAAAGCGGCTTTGCAGAAAAGGACCTGGGGGTCCTGGTGGACACCAAGTTGATGATGAGCTAACAACGTGCCCTTGTGGGGCACAGAAAGTGAATGGTGTCCTGGGTTGCCTTAGGCAAAGCATTGCGAGCAGGTCAAGGGAGGTGATCCTTCTGTTCTGCTCAGCACTGTTGAGGACACACCTAGAGTGCTGCGTCCAGTTCTGGTCTCCTCGGTACAAGAGAGGCATGGACATACTGGGGAGACACCAGCAAAGGGCCACAAGGATGATTAAGGGACTGGTGGATCTCTCCCATGAGGAAAGTCTGAGAGAGCCAGGACTGTTCAGCCTAGAGAAGACAAGGCTCAGGGGGATCTCATCAATGTATATAAATACCTGAGGGGATGGTGTAAAGAGGACTGAGCCAGGCTTTTTTCAGTGCTGCCCAGTGACAGGACCAGAGGCAATGGGCACAAACTGAAACAAGAGGTTTCCTTTGAATATCAAGAAATGCTTTTTCACTGTGAGGTTGACCAAGCACTGGCACAGGTTGTCTGATAGGGTTGTGTAATCTCTATCCTCGGAGATATTCAGAAGCCATGTGGACATGGTCCTGGGAAATCTACTCTAGGCGGCTCTGTTTCAGAAGAGGGGTTGGACCAGATGACCTCCAGAGGTCCTTGTCAACCTCAACCATTCTGTGATTTTGTGATTTTGCTTCCATGTTCTAGTGCAAATTCTGTCTTTTCTGTTAAACATCAAGTGTAATAATATTTCAATCTTATGAGAGTCATTTTCAGTGAAGTTTTAGCGTATTCTGTGAAAAGCAGAAGTTCATAATGGAAAACAATTTTTAGAATAAACAAAATTTTCCAAACAAAAGTAAGTTCGGATGGAAAATGCTCACTAGCTCTAGTTTTGAAAAACCTTACAGTGTTGACTATGATTAATTGTTTGTATTTGTAAAAACAAAAAAATATAGTAAAAGAAATCAAACTCTAAAAGTTAGGAAAGGCCAGAAGTAGAGTCAGCCATTTAAAGGTAACTCACCCCCTTTTGTACATGTGCGCATCTATATCTCCCCTAATTTGTCCAAAGAGATGCCCACAAGATGAACTATTGCTGCAGAATAAAACAGGAATGCACAGTCTGCAAGACATGCACTTTAGTATCAGAGATGTGTGAATGAAAGAGGGCTCTTCATGAGGAAAACGGATGATCCTGAGCTTAAGGTAGTTCAATGCTGCCTCAGAAAATTGCTTTCCAACTCTGTCTCTGTCCCCAAGTTCATACACAATGCTAGGGAAAATATCACAACTGGCTACTAACTTCTGGTTTTTGCTTTCTGAATATCCACACAGCTGATGGGGCAAGGGTTGAGCACTTCCAGTTGCAGCTAAAATAACAAGTATGATACTCTCAGTAACATAGTGCTGATGCCAATTGCTCTGCAAAATCAAACCAAAGCACCTCTAACTGGTGAGATCTTACACTTTGGACCTCCATCTACTTATGCTTTAGTTTTTTGTGTTTTGTTTTTTTTTTAAGGGAATAATATCCACTTATCCACACTGTGATGTTTTAAAAGATACATCTGTGCACATTTGGGGTGAACAGCATGAAAAATGTTCGATTCTTTACACAGAATAACTACCCACCAAAAGAAGACAAGAAAAGTAGTCCTGAATAATTGTCCATCCCCAAAATGAGGAAGAAGCGTTCTGTGTTAAAATTAAAATGTAATTTTGTACTGGAAGATCATGTATCATAACGTATACCTAAATGAGGCTGAATGAGGCAATGCTAAGTTTCTCAACTTTGCAACCTTAATAACTTTTTTGCATAAGGCTTTTGGTTTGTGGAAGTTAAATACTTAATGTCTCATAGGCATTTGAAGGCCTCATTAGAAAAGAAATATTTTCAGATTGGTCTTGGTCAAGTCAGCACAATTTAATTAACAAAGGAGTGAATTATTCATAAAAGAATGCCCAAGGCTTCCTTGGCTGGCTGTCTAGAGCCTCTTTATCCGAAAAATTGCAATCACTGCTGTTTTTTACCACATCCTGCTTACCTGTCATGGTTTGGTGAAGAGTTGTAGACCTAAAGGTATATAATCTCTGTTAAGTGCCTCATTTGGAGAGAGTTGATACCAGCAGAGTCTGTCACTGCTGCTCTGTGCTCTCTGCTGCAGCTGTGGCAATAACCTGCTTCTGTTCCAACCTGATCACAGCTGTATTCCAGTTACTCAGTGACAGGTTTTACAACTGTTTAATACTAATTTTACGTTTCTTTAATAGCTATATGAGTAGTGTTGTAACATTTATTGTAAATAACCCATATGTATTTTCTTTCAAGGTTAACTTTGGCATCTTCTTAAAAATTCTCAGAATGCTGATTTCCAAACTAAAAGCTCAGCAAATGAGTTTTCATGACTACAAATACAGGTATGTAATAAATAACAAAGAAATCTTATCTTTTTTTTTTTTCTCAAAACGTCAGAACGTTGCCAGTTTGTCCTTGCAGATTACACATTTACCTACCACCAATCAGGTGTAACAGATATTCCGAGTTTGATATAGGAAAGCCATCTGGGCAAACAGGCTCCACAATCTGAGAGGTAAAGGCATGTCAACACCTGCATGGTGAACATTTTGGGCATTTTCTCAAGGACTTTGCAATGCAGTAAGATCTCTGCTGTCAGATATCCTCACTGTGCACCTGTGGCCTCTACTGCTGTGACACATTTTTTTTCCTTGACTGTGACAAAAGGTCCTTTAAAAGAAAAGGAGGTGTAGAAGATTTGTGGGATATTCCTAAGTGACAGTAGCATTTCTGATTTACTTTTTTCACAGACTCAGACACTGTTGACTCAAGATTGTCCCTGATCTTATTGTAAACCCAAATGAGAATGCTCTTGCAGACACTGGTGTGGGCTCTCTTGGCCAAAGTCTCAGTGATACATCATGTCTTATGTAAAGTCCTGGAGCTGTCCTTTGCACAAACATCTTCACACTTTGTGGGAACAGCAAGGGCAGGCTGTTCTGCAAGCTCTGCAAGGAGCTAAGGGTGCATTGCAAATTGCACTTAAATCTATGCAAACCTGAGGGTTTGTTATCTGCTTTCCACATCCCAATTCTTTCCAGTTTTTAGTATCTTTAATCAAAGCATTGTGAACCCCTGTCTGCTATTATAGTCCTGCCTTACTAAGATTAATTATTTTATTGTCTAACAGGACTGGGCAGGTGGAGGCAGGATGGAAAGTCCACTACCAACTTCCTATTAAATTCCAACATTAAGTCCCTAAAAAGAAGCATATTTCCATTTTCCTTCAGCATTCAAGGTCCAAAAGATCTCAGCTATATTCTCCAGATTGCTATAAAAAGATTGTTGTGATGATAGTCACAGACAGCAGTGTTTGTATTTAACATTGCCTAATATTTTGTGTTATATTCTCTTTTCTACAGCTTATAATTTTGCTAAACTTTCAACGATTCAAGCTATTCCTCACATTGCAAGTCTTCCCCAGAACTCACTTTCTATTGAGATCTCTTCTTTCATGTATACAAACATGTTCCCAGACTTGTTAATGAAGATTCTCTTCCATAAAAGTTATTCTGGTTGCATGTTTTAAAAAGTAGACAACTGCTGACAGTACCACAGAAACTTTCTATGCAGCTACACAGAGTTTTCAGCAGCAATAGGAAGGTCTAAGAACCCTGTTAACAGATCACTCATATTTAGCTACGTAAATATTTTTCTGTTACCTAGCAGCATAAGTTTGATGACAGTGATCCTCCTATTCAATTTCTTGTCCCTAACTTTTCACCTTAAACCCAAAGCCAAGATTCCCTCCTGTACAGACTTTTCTGCTCCAAAATTCATATCTGGGAATTTGCCCTCAAAGTCACAAAATTACTAATACCATTCCAGAGTCAGAACAGGGAACATGTCTGGAATAATTTCTTTATAGATGAATTTTTGATTTTTGCACCAAGTATGTTGTAAAAATATTATAATCCAACATTTTCTTTTTAAGATTGGCAAGATCTACACTTGTGCTGATTCCATTGTTGGGGATCCATGAATTTGTATTTGCCTTCATCACCGATGAACAGGTGGAAGGATTTTCAAGACATATAAGACTTTTCATTCAGCTGACAATGAGCTCATTTCATGTAAGTACTGTTTTGCAAGTACCGTTTTTAGGGGTCATAGATCCACATGCATATATTGCTCACCTATACATACCACAGATACACAGTCCTCTTATTTAATTTTATGCTCCAACCTATAATGCCTCTAAATTCCAACCCAAAGATTCTATGATTCTGTAGTGTATTCTATAAATACACTATTATGGTGACAAGATAAAAAACTAACAAACTACATATTCAAAATATGATAGTCCCAAAGACCAACAAAGAAGTCTGCCATCTTTGGAAACAGTGTGTCCTATATTGTCTGGTAATGGGTGACAGTTCATCACAGACCCCTGTTCTAAAAACAGGATTAAAGTGGTCTATTTAAAATATGTGTTTAGTATATGCTAATTCCTAAAAAGCACTGGATGGCTCTTTTTATCAAGCCTTTCAGGTGATCTGTTGAGTTTGCACTCACACTGAGGAGAGAGTTGGTTCTGGAGAAGAGCAATTTTTCAGTGCATAGTACACATCCAGCATCCTTCAAACACACAACAATGACTTTGTTGTCTTGCTAGTGTACAAACAAAAAGCAGTCAAGACTCTTTGCACCAGGAGATACAAGGAGGAGTTTCACTTTAGCTTGGGTAGTTGAGGCAGTCAGTTCATGACTGACACATCACTGACAACAGCAGGTCTGTGGGGCAGTGCTTAGCTTTTAGGACTTTTTTCAAAAGGAGTTGAATGTAAACTACCTGGCATTTGGGGCAGTTTGATGAAAGGATGTGCAGATCTGAATACTGTGAGAACAATGAGCAGAGTTAAAACATTTGCTGTAAGGAGAAGCATGTGAAAGATAAGCAAGAACTGCTTTGTGTGTGGTTCAAGCCTACAGGACACACTCTGAGCACACCTACCAGAATAATGCCCTCGAGCAAGTGCATTGAAGACATGTCTTGTACGAGAAGTTTGTCAGGCCATGACTCACCTGAGTTGCGTGCTGTTCAGCAGTTGTATCAGAGGTACTTCCATGCAAGCCTAGATAAAAACTCAAAGCCATTTTTTATGCCTAAACCACACCTACATACTCCAGGCCTCCACAGTTCACATATAGGCATCAAAGATGTCACCTGAGATAGATACCCTTCTGAGGACTTCAGTTTGGGTCTTCTACCTCTTTCATGGGTTTAAGTATGAATTCAACAAAACACTTAATACGTCAGAAATGAAACATAGAAACCCACCATTAATTCAGTGAATAAGCACCAGTAAAAAAGTCTACTTTTGCACACTAGACCCCTGATTAGTGCACTCCTCTGGGAAAAAGAGACAACACAGGCCCCAGCTAAGAGATGGTTTAATCTGTTCCAAATAAGTCTTACACAGCACCATTTCCTCCTGCCCAAACAAAGCTGTGTAAGCCAGCAACCAAAGATGTAAAATTAACTGAGAGGAAGGAGAATGAAAGAGAATGTGAATGTGTGGCTTAGTGGTTACAGCAACTGGCAGGGAAAAGAACTCTTTAAAGCCTAGGCACCTGTCCCTGAGTGCTGATACCATTTACATTAAATAACTATAGATGTAAAAAGGTAAGAAAAAAATTATGTAATCAGAGGAGCGAAGAGTAGAATATCTCAGCATTTGCCTTACTCATCCTTGACTTCCACTCATGGCCTTGTGAGACATGGCGGTGGTCAATATTAACCTGCCTTGATTCAAGAGAAGGTGCAGATGTGCATCCACCCAGATAGCCTGGTAACTGAGTGACTACTGTAGGACATGGCTGTGCCTGTGGAAGGGCACTAGGTATTTCTCATACTTCCAGGTTATTGAGCAAAATATGGGATATATCACAACAGCCAGCTTCTCCTTTGAAGAAATGCACATTGACCCACTGATTATAGCTGAATCCTTAACACAGGTGTCTAAGTCCCTGAAAGGAATAATTGAAGCAGTTGCATTTTCTGCTTTGTCATTTTTTCTTGGTTGCTTTCATTCAATCATTGAATCATTTAGGTTGAAAAAGATCTCTAAGATCATCAAGTCCAACTGTTAACTTAGCACTGCCAAGTCCACCACTAAACCATGTCCCTAAGCACCACATCTACACATCTTTTAAATACCTCCAGGGATGATGACTCAACCACTTCCCTGGGCAACCTGTTCCAATGTTTGAGCACTCTCTCAGTAAAGGAATTTTTCTTAATAACCAGTCTAACTCTCCCCAGGAGCAACTTGAGGCCATTTCCTCTTGTCCTATCACTTGTTACGTCAAAGAGACTGACACCCACCTTGCTACACCCTCCTTTCAGTTGTAGAGAGCGATAAGGTCTCTCCTCAGCCTCCTTTAGCCTCTCTTTCTGCAGGCTAAACAGTTCCCTCACAAGACTTGTGCTCTTGACCCTTCACCAGCTTCGTTGCTCTTTCTTTGGACACCCTCCAGCAACTCAATGTCTTTCTTGCAGTGAGGGGCCCAAAACTGAACACAGTATTTGAGGTGTGACCTCACCAGTGCCAAGTGCAGGGGCACAATCACTTCCCCACTCCTGCTGACCACATTATTTCTGATACAGGCCAGGATGCTGTTGGCCTTCCTGGCCACCTGGGCACGCTGATGGCTCATATTCAGCAGGGTGTTGACCAACATTCCCAGGTCCTTTTCCACCAGGCAGCTTCCAGTTACTGGGCCATTGTGAGTCCCAGTCTAGGTGTCTGGTGCCCCATTGTCCACCCCATTCAGTATATACCGGAGTTTAGCATTTAACTTGACACTTGAGAAAAATTGCAGTTGTGTAGGCCTGGGTATTCAGTCTTGGGTCACAGCATTTAACTCCCCACTGAACATAGTTTCCTAACCCTTAAATGCTTATATTCACCATGTTCCTACTGGTTAAAGGAATTCTGGTATTTTCTCCCAGCAATAAAAATTTCACCTCTATATTTTCCTCCCATGGTTCCCAAGATTGAAGTCTGGCAATGTCAACACCTGTAAACCTGTGTCTCATATCTGCTCCCATATCTCCATAGGGAGCTATTTTTCCTCCTAGTAATCTTGACCAAGATAACTCTTCCCATTTTGCTTACAAAGGAAGGAGACTCCATTAAGTTCAAGTCTTTATGAGATGCCATTCATAAATTCTAACTAAGATTATAAGAGACTCTCTTTTTAATGGAGTCACCATATATCCAGTTCTCTCAGAAGGCACACAAGGTAAACCAGGTAGCAATTTTTTGCTCTCTTTCCTGAGCAAAGAAAGAGCTTGCTTGCTGTCTTCTGAAAAAACTAGACATTTCAGGATGTACCAACACATTCTTCGGGCAAAAGAGGTTCATTCCTGCAATAGCCCATTTGAAATGTCTGTGTATCAAGATTTTCTTCCCCCCAGAAATCATAACTGTGAGAATGTCTGTCCTCATACAAAGTGGGCTCTGTTTCCCTAAAGGATGTGTTCATTCACCATATCTGCAAAGGCACACTATGGCCTCCTATATGTACACTCATAAAAAGTACTGTGCTCATGAAAAAACTTTTAGAGCCAAGAGAAAATTTGTCAGAGCACTCACATGGGTAGAAGAGATAGAGAGACTAGCATCTGCAGGTGGAAAAGAAGTTACCGATACAGTCAGCAGAGTGTTTTAGAGATGTTTGTGCCCTTGACTCTCTTTCAGTCACCCTGCCTTAGTAGCGTGTAAATAGGCAGAAACTTGAGGTAGCAAAGGAATGAGCGTAGCTCTGGCAGCTCTGTGCCCTCGTAGCTTGGCTGCAAGCATGAAGGTGTGAAGGAGCCACACTACAGCTTGAGGGGAAAAATGTTCAGGCAGGCAAAGGGTGTTCATGCAGACCCACTACCCTAAGGGGGCATGCTGACATGGTGTTGAAGTACACGTTCCTCAGTTAGATATATCCTTACTTGGAGAGGTTGCAGTGACTAGATGTTATTTTAAGAAACACAGAATCATTTTAAGTGAAAATTTTATTTAGTGGCTTGTACAAAGAAATCTGATAGAAGATAGCTTACTCATCCTTGCTAGAAAACAGAAACTTCTTTCCTTTTAGAGGAACATGCACTTGCTCAGCTACATGGCACAGTTTAGAAGCAAAACTTCTTTTCAAAATAGCCAAAGATGTTAGACAATGTTTATTGCAGATTTGCTTTTTTAGCTACAGCATTATTTGTGAAAGGATTAGCAAAAAAGCACACAAACTGTACACAATTACATTTGTTTAGTCTGTAAATCTTGGTAGTTTTAAAAAGCAGTTAAACTTCTGTTAAAGAAAACAATTACCTCTGGGATCTCATCTGGAGGTTTTAGCTCAAACGTTTTCAAGGAGCACAAAACTAAATTCTAAATACAAGTTGTGCAGTAGATATGATGAGTCTTTTCTTTAGAAAGATCTTGGCTCACTGTTGCATGCAAACTGGAAAAAATACTGGTTTCTGGTGGATAAAACACAGCTGTTTAATGAGTAATTTACCATGTTGCCATTTTCAGTAGAGCTGAAGAACAAGCGTGAGGCTTACACATGCATCTATCCTTTCCTATTGGTTATTGTTCTAATAAACATTAATTTCTTCCCAATTTCTGATTTTTCTTTTTCCTTCACACTGTGATCATTTTAAAAACATATGCCTTGGAAGTCATGGCATACAGGAGAGATTTCTAAGTATGAATTTTCATGTATTACAAAAAATATTAATATAAGGAAGTATGAAATAAATTAGGATATAAAATCAACATCAAACATGAATAATCACTAAATTTTCCAGCTTCTGGTAGGATTTTACAGTGCTTCTACCTGTCACTGCACATTCTGATCTTGCAGCAGCAAACTAAATTCATATAGGGATTTACAAACTTACATTAAACACAGAGGTGCCACTAGTATTCACAAAATCCTCTCTTAATCTTGTGAGTTTTTACATTTCTGGCAGTGGGTATCATCAGGCTTAGCAGTCACAGGACTTAACAGCACCATGTAGTTTAGATTCTATTTCTGCTTGTGGTGCCCATGAGGCCAAATTTATAGCTCATGTTCTGAACATAAAATAAATTTAAAAAATGCAGTAGAGACAGTTTCATGGACTTTCTACCCAAAAAAGAGAACTATCTCCAGGTGCAGAAGTAGTTCTGCATAAAAAGCTGCTTTTTAAGCTATTAAACTTGTATTTATTCATCAGAAACTCTCTCCATAATTTCTGAGTCTTCTATAACTGTTATTCTAAAATTTATCTCCATAGTAAAATATCTATTGTAAACTCTAGTGACCACAACATTTTGTGATTTTTTTTCATATTTCTGTCAAATAATTTAGAGGTAGATGATTATTTAAAAGTTACATTGATAAATTGCCTTTATCTTGCTATCATAACCCAGGGGACGCCTGAAATATAGTGGAAATTAAATACATGGAAAAAGCAATTGTGATTGCTATTCCTCCTACCCCATTTCCAGTGGTGTGGCAAATAAACTGTGCTTTTTCATACTTATTGTACATATGCTTAAGGAATTAATTACTCCAAACCTTTCAGCATTGCTAGAATATTAACAGGCTCAAGACGCTAGTGGTTAATGCTAGATATATTAAAAAATATTGAAGCTGTTGTGTATGAAAATTCCTTTTTAAGCTTTTGTCCGAGAAAAACAGAAACATTTCTGGAAAAGTATGAGTGTGAAAACAATTGAATGATGATGTCAGCTGTGTTATATATGGCTATGACACCTTTTTACTTTACCTTGCCTTGGGACTGATAGTCAACAGTATTTATTCTCTTCATCAGAACTTGTGTTATAGATATGTTTAGACATACCAAAAGAAGTGCATTTCCTGAAGCAATGGTAATAAATCTGCATAACTGTTCCAGACTGTTAGGCTGAGATGTATGCATGTATGCTGTTTTGACCTGAGATCAAATATAGACAGAAAGTAAAAAAATTGAAAGAATAATTTTGGGGTTGGTTTAAAACAAGTTTTCTCTCTAGGATTTTTTTTCTTTTAAAGGTCTTTATTTAAATCTATTTCAAAAGAAAAATGGGAATTCAAAATAGCCATACACTTAATACATATAGAACACTTAATACAGCTGAGCAAACTGGCACTAATCTATCACTTAACATAGCACTAATATTTAAAAGGTACCCAAATGAAATCCCTCGCAGTAGTCTCATTTGCAAATCAAACAAGCACATGGGTAATATGAGACCTGAAGCTGTTTTTTTTTTGTTTTACTCTGTTTAGAAATAGCAGCAGCAACAGTATAACAGCAGTAGTTTGAAAAAAAAGATATGTGGTAGTAAAGAAGATAATATGGAATATCAAACTGGGTTGTATAGTCTCTGTTCTTCAGCATCTGCACTAAATGTGCCCTACATTTGCTAAGGCACCATAAGAAAACAAGTTAATGGGTACTTCAATAATAAGTAAATACAGGCAACTAGTTTCATTTTTGAACATTAAGCAGCGTTGTTTATACTTTGGCTTTAACACTAATGTCATCTTTAAACTAAAACTTCAGGTATTTCCTGTGCACTCTAACTTTTTCCTCTTACTGTCTTTCTCTTACAGGGATTTTTTGTAGCAGTTTTATACTGCTTTGCTAATGGAGAGGTAAGAAAAAATGCTATGAGAGAAGTTTTTAGTTGATTAAAAAAGTATATTAATGACACCAAGAAGAATTAACACACTGAGTAGCCCTGCTTATTTGAGAACATGCATGCATTCTTTTGAACTGGTATAATTGTTTTGTAGGAAGAGAACAGCAAGACCTCTCACAGGTTTGGGATTCAAATGCAAAAGTATTTCCACTGAAGCCTGAGTGGCTATAGCACTGTGGACGTATGGATACACGGGAGTGTTTGAAATACCAGCCCAGGCTTATGATCAGCCACCTAAACCCCATTCTTTTAATCAGCTGGAAAACCAGACTTCATGTTTGGCCAGGCTAAACCCTCTCTTAGTTTACCCCTAAGTCCATGTGAAGCAACCAAATTTGGGGTGCTTTAATATCTTAGACAGCAACATGCTGAAAAAGTAATTTAATGCATGCACTGCTCAGGACATCCCTAGACTTGATGTGAGGGGATTCATTGTCTGGAACTTGTCTCCTGCTATGCCTCAAGGGACAGCTGGGAGTTCAATTTGCTCCATGCCAGGATTTAGGCAGATCAGTGATGGCTCTTATGCAATGAGATGACAGTAGAGAAAGCTATCCTCCTGCCCAACATAGCATGAAGACTGAATTCAGACCCAGACCAGGTTGCTCGGGGTTTTGTCCAGCTAAGCTTCAAACCCCCTCCAAGGACAAAGGTTCCGCCACCTTTCTGGTTCTCTGTTCCAGTACTTCACTGTACTCAGGAGGAAACATCTTTTCCATATATGTTAGAACTTCCCCCATTTATTTCAATTTATGCTCACTATCTCTTGTGTCCCTACCAAACACCTCTGTAGAGTGCCTGGCTCCATCTCCTCCATGATCTCTTCATAGGCCGTATTTAGGCCCTCGGCATAAACGAGCCCCATGCACTCAGCCTCTCCCTCATAGGGCAAGTGCTCCAGCCTTGATCTCTGCTGTTAAGTTCAAGCTTATCTACACAGTTTTTTTGCTGGGGGCACAAAATTAGATGCAGCATTCAGAGGTAGTCTGACGGTTACTGAGTAGAGGAGAACAATCGCTTCTCTTGATCTACTGGCTCTGCTCCTGCCTGTACAACCCAGCGCCTTCATCACCATCACAGCTGCCTTTGCCTTATCGTACTGACTTGCTACAGGCTACCTCAGAAAACGATGTTATGTAGGCTGTGGAATCAGTCATCTCATTTAATTTTAAACGTTTTCTAAGTTGAATCTCACTGTCTGTACTTCCCTTATATTTGGTCCGGGTGCAGACCTCGACAGACACATCCAGCGTCAGCAGCACTTAAGAGCCTGGCACTGCCAGCTGGCATGGTACACTACACCGACACAGGTCATGCATTTGGACCCTTTCTTAAAGGCACCAGTGAAACAAACAAGATGGGCTTTACACAAATGTAGGCCATATGTTCCTAATATTTAACAATGAAACCTGGAGCAATTTTGGAACTACTTGAATAAAAAAGAGAACTGGCACTTGTATGCAACACAGGACGACTTGTCTAATATTTGCGAAGGGCACAGAACTGCTAGGATCTCTCATCAGCAGTGAAAAGTTGCTCTTTTGGCCTTCTACCTCCTGGCCCAGTTGAGCTCTCGGGTCAAAGGGCCTGCTGGTTAGGCAAGGGCCCATCGTGCTCCTCTGGGTGGGCCTGGAGCCTGCCCTCCATCTGCAGCACTGGCTAGCGTGACAGGCAGCTGGACGCTCCGTGCTGAGGATTTAAGGAAGCTGGCAGATAAAAAGCTTTAACAAAACAAACCAGATATCCAAGCACAGCACTCCAGCAGTGCTGCATGGTCCTCATTTCCACAGCCCTTGGACTTTCCTCCTCCTCACTTCATCAGGCTGTAAACATGGAAGTCACACACACGCATTATGACGGCAGTGTATCAGAGACTCGGGGGCTGGGAAAAACTTCACTAAGTCAGAGTGAAGAGGTGGACTCCTAAGGTTGATTTAGTGGACAAGTCTGTTTCTACCCTGCAAGGACCTCACCAGATGCGAGGTGCACCCCAAAGCGATAGGAAGCTCAGCACTCCCACAGTCCCTCTCATTCTACAACTAGCATTTGGGTTAGCGGGCTGCAGGGTGGTCACAAGACATCACCATGGACAGACTGTTTTCTTCTCCCCCCAGGTGAAAGCAGAGCTCCAGAAGCAGTGGTCCCGCTTCCTGCTGGCAGATCCCTTTGGCTGTAAACTGTGCTTTCTTGGGGAAAACATAAAATACCTCAGGAAATGTTCACAGAAACGAAATAAACAGCACCTCGGCAGCAAACACCACTTGTGCCTGGAGGCCAGCGAGCCCTGCGGCGTGCAGCTCCAGCAGGTGCTAGTGACGCAGGGATCGGATCTCAGCTCAGAGCCAGGCTGTGCGCTCCCATCTTGTCCATGGGCAAGCATGTCAGACAGCAGTGAAGGAGAAGTCACCACTGGAGAGACAACTGAGGAAGTCTTCGAAGAAAGTGAGATCTAGAAAGCTGTCCACGAGGGCACCACCTTCCAACAGGCACAGTATTTTGAAAGATCTTCTCTCACCTCCAGACTTGGGATGCTGAAAGAGATGGACGTGGGAGCAGGATGTACTCTGGAAATGAGGGGACTCTGGACACACACATGGCATCCCAGCAGCTTCATCCATGCTTGACCGCCATTCTACTCACATAACAGAGAAATATTTTGTTTTTCTCTTTCATAGGTATGTTCATAAATAGAGATGTATGTAGAAGACTCTTCTCTCTGCAGATTGAAATCATTCTCCATCTCAAAAAAAGTTTCAGGCCAAACCAGAAACATTGTTTAAACAAAATGAAAGGATGCATATATATCTATTAAATATTTTTTAATATATATCTAATATATATATTAATTATGCTAGCATTTGTAACACATTTTTCCTGTACTTTACTGGCAAGCACTCTATTTTAACTTAAATGCCTGCAAATGTAATAAAACATATCCTGGGCAACTGGCTGTAGGTGGCCCTGCTTGAGCAGGGGGATTGGACCACATGGCCTCCAGAGGTCCCTTCCATCCTCAACCAGTCTGTGATTCTGTCAAAACGCTGTGTGTCAAATAAATAATTTTCAGGGCTGTTCGTGGGCTCTATTCACACATCTTCTCTCCACCACATGCCAACACTGTGGCTGCCCTTCTGGCTTTCTCTGCTTCTAATCTCTCCATGGGGTGGCTTTTCCCTTAGACCCCTGCTGCCAGCTCTACAACTGTAAATGGCCCTTTTATGAGATAGGTTGCCTATTTGATGTGTTGTTTGAGCAGACTAAGTTTATGCATCTTATGCAACTTGCCAATGCTTTCTACAAATGTTTAGACATGTAAATTTTACCAATTACAATATACTGCTTTCTTGCGAAGAACAGATAAATTCATTGATTAGCACTAGGTCAAGAACACATTTGAGCTGTTACATTTCTGGTACTTTTCAAAAAGTATTTCTTTTACAGTTGTATCAGTGTTAAGAACTTAACATATTTAATCAATAAGAAGTTGTATATTTTGGTAAAATATTAATAAAATGTAAATATTTGATCCATTAAAAGATATATCTGCCGTTTTAAAAGGCTTTTTACCAGAACGTCCACTCTACTTATATAGCATTTTACTGCAGTAGATTTATCCACCACCTATTACAAGCGCCAGACACTACGTACTTGTTGACCATGTCTTCTCCAATTTAAAAAAGACTGATTTCTTCTAGAGCTGTTGTTTAAGATATTAAAATGCTTGAAGTGGTTTAGAATGTATTTTACTTGGTTGTTAAAGATGTGAAAGTTGTAAGATTTTACTTTCAGTAAAATAGTTTACTTTTTAATTGCATTTTAAAGTATTTCAAATGGTCAAAACTGGTTAGTTTTTGTGCTCTCAATAGCAGTCCCTGCCAGGTGCATTTTCCCCTATCCATTATATGTGTGGTCTTTTTGCCTTTTTTGGTTTATAAATATCAACTTTTTTAATATAAGCAGACCCTGGAGGCCTGATAAAAACAATTATCACATGGATTCCTTCAGAAACAATGTTTGTAAGTAGATAAATCAGCAAGTTTCATCATAAAAATATAGCATTATTTATTATATCACTAAAGTATAGAAATACTTACGGCCATATTTATCTTTACAGAAATATTACAAGCTCCTCAGTTCTAAATAAAATATTAAGCAGTCTAGAAGAAAGCAGCACACTCAAAAATTCAAACATCTTAATAGAGCCAAGGAAAACAGATGAAAAAAGTCAGTGAATATAGCTGACTCTTCTCTTAGGAAAGTGAAGGTCTGCAGCTAGGTATCGTCCTGGGATTTTCCTTCTGCCCTTTGTGGAGCCCCAGAGCTGCAGGAGGGACACTGCAGCCAGAGAAGCTGGTAAGAAAAGCTGCAACAGGTCCCTGTGATGTGAGACAGAAGCCAGACAACTTGCCAGGATTCCTACAAGTGCACAGACTGGAGAGAGAAACAGTTGGGAGAAAGGACAAAAAATATGATCTTGCTCTGATGAAACAAGAGGTGGAGGAGACAGATCGACCCAAACTGGTTTGTTTGCCAGTGATATTTTGTGTAAATTACCTATCCAGTTTGCACACAGATTAATAACATTAGCCCAGGGTTTTATGCTTGCGTAGACCTAGTAACAGGATTGCTCTCTTTACCAATCAATTGCTCACCTTTACTCCCCAGATTTCCACTGCCTTTGCCTTATGAGAAAGACTGGTGTGAGCTAAAGGCTCCTTCCCTCTCTACGAGAGAGTCCATCCTCCCATGGTCCTGGTGAGTTTGGTCTTTGCTGAGTCAGTCCATTAAGTAAGACAAGGTGGGATATTCATGCTCAGGACATCAGAGACAACCCACACTAAAACCTGAATCCCACAGCTTTGAAGTTGTCTTTGCAAAGGATTTTGCTTTCCATCAAAACTTTTATGACAAAAAAAAAGAATTTCAAGTCCAAAATAGCTTGTGGGTTCAACAGAGCTTTCCCATCAGATGTAGAGTGATAATTGATTTGATTTGTACAAAAAAGGTTTACACAATCTTACTAATCTGCTGTGAGACATGCTATAAATTTTTATGTTTTACTGCACATAAAGCACAACCTTCCAGATACAATGGCTCCTTCTATGGCCAGAGATGTCAACTATATGCTAATTATAAATGTGTACTTACATTCTCTGTTTAAATATATTGCTTCTACATACCAGGGTCTGTGCCTCAAAGGCTCAAATAGTAAAGCACAAACACTCCAGTCTGGAGAGCTCTCTGTTGGTTATGCCTTGGAATCAATAGTACCAGTTTGTATTTTTTAAAATATGGAATAAATCCGGTAGATTAAGAGAGATGTGCCAGTTCTGTCATGTTTGATGTGCTCTCTTCCCAAGGCACCAAAACGAAGTGAAGTAAGGCAAAGAGTTACACATGTGCCACCTCATTGAATCTTATGAAAAAGACAAGTTTGGGAAGGTTAGATGTGTGTGAGACACTCCAGCACTAATGTTCTGTTTTGTTCTAGTGCAAACATGAAATAATATAACGAACACTTTTTTTTTTTTTTTAAGAGAGAGAAGGCAACGTTTTAAAAGAATAGATAAATTAAGTATCCTATGACAACTTGCTCTTAAACTACAGCTATCTTCACTCTGGGATGTTGAGATTGGGATAGGAGGAGGTCTATCTCAGCTACTGACCAAAATATGGTGTAGTAATTGTATTCTTACACCTCCAGCCTCAAGTACAGGAGATGAAAAAGGTGATGCTGCACCTCTGGGTCTATTTAGATGTGCCATACACCTGTGCCTGATACCAGAACTGGAGGAAGGGAAGTTCTACCAGCAGGCATGTACCTTCTTCAGCAGTCTTGATCTCTGTGAGTGCTCAGTCTTCAGTGGAAATTGAAGACAACCTTGAGTGTGTGGGACAGTAGCAGGACGAGAAATGCCAAACCATGACATACCTCCTGGGGAGGCTGTAGGCCACAACTTCCTGGGCGTAATCCCCTCACCTCCAGCTAATGTCAGCTGCTTCACCTGCATGGTAGAGCAAACCACTTCCACTTGACTACATATGTGTTTTGTAGCCTGTTGTCTCTTGGCCCACTCCTCTGATACACCTCTAGCACCAGCATCTGGTGTTCCTGGCAGTCCCCGTTGCAACAGTCAAAGCTTCTCTGCTTTCCATCAGGCACTTCCACAACAGCCTGATGGCAGAAGCTGCATTTAGGGACTTGTGGCGTCCTGAGTTCACCAGCTGTCACCATCTTTTGGTCTCCCATAGCACTTCTTACTTTTCTAGCTACCCCAGCATTCCCATCTGGCATTGCTATATTGGCTATTATTTGGCCAGTATACCAGGTTGTTCGGCATACACACATACATGCCTCAACTTTGTAGGAACTGTCCTTCCTTTCAGGATACAGCTTCTTCCTTTCATTTTCTTCAGGAATTTTCTTATTTATTCCCATCAGTCTCAGCTCCCAGTAAGAAGAACTCTGTGATCTGTAAAATTCTTCCTGACATCAGTAATTTTTTTCTTTTTTCATCAAGAATATTTTATTGACATCTTTTTCAACTTTCATAGCAACCACAATTCTGGATTTTTAGTTACTTCTTTTCAGCCTGCCATTCCAAATCTAACAAACCATCTGCTGTGCTAAACATCTTGTTGTGTTTAGGTATCTCTGCAGTTATTCCTGGAGCCACACAGAACTGCAGTGAGAAGCAGCTGCTTATAAACTGTGTCATTGCAATTAGCTCCAGGAAATTACATTGGAGCTGCCACATAACCAGGTCTCAAAGGCTTGAAAGCTCAGTTTCCTTGTATATCATGCTCGTCACATTGTAATGATTATTTTCTCCCATCATAGCCAAATTCTCACTGCTCTCCCTGTTTGCCATTCAGCCTGTTTCTTTGCCTTCTCTGGAGTCAGCTCTGATTTTAAGTCCAGCAGCATCTCAACAGGCACAGCTGAGCAGCCATCCTGGGCTGTTCACCGTCTCCCAGAGGCTGCCCTCTTCCACATGTGTATCCAAATCCCTCTGGGGATAACTACGAGTCCTATCTACCCAGCATGCCATGTCTGTCTACCAAGAACCATAGAATCATAGAATCTTTGGGTTGGAAGAGACCATTTAAGGTCATCTTGTCCAACCCCCCTGCAATGAGTAGGGACATCTTGAACTAGAGCAGATTGCTCAGAGCCTCAGCCAACCTGACCTTGAATGTTTCCAGGGATGGGGCATCTACCACCTCTCTGGGCAACCTGGGCCAGGGTTTCACCACCCTCATTGTCAAAAATTTCTTCCTTGTATCTAGTCAAAATCTGCCCTCTTTTAGTTTAAAACCATCACCCCTTGTCCTATCACTACAAGCCCTGCTGAAAAGTCTGTCCCCATCTTTCATATTAAGCCCCCTTTAAGTACTGGAGTGCTGCAATAAGGTCTTCCTGGAGCCTTCTCTTCTCCAGGCTAAACAACGC